TTATTATGACAACTTTCCACTTACAGCTCATTTAAAATTATATTACATCAGACCAGTAAAACAACATTTTAATACAGAAATATTGGCTTATTTCTGGAACACATAATATTATCATTGAAAATGACTGCATATTTGCATCTCTGAATATTTATCCCCGTGATGACACGTGGGGTGTCTTTGATATAATTTTGTTTGTTTTTAATTCATACTATAAAAATACAATGTTGAAATAGTAGAGAAATCTGACAAGTTTTTCTTATCTGATTTGTTCTTTTCTTCTTTCTTTGTACAGGTTCCATATTTAAAGTATCTGTCATAAATGTACATTGGATTTATTTATTTGTATTCACATAAAGTATTCTAGAAATCTAGATCAAATCTAGACTGTTAATGAATTATTTTCAGAAAACATTTAAATGGTATTTTTGCTAATTTAATTATTTTTGACAGTCTTAATTTTTATGTGGTTGTACTCTTTCAGGCATTCAAGGTTCTGGCTGTGAAACATATCAGAAGAATCTACGATATCACAAACGTGCTGGAGGGCATCGGTCTTATTGTCAAAATATCCAAGCGCCATGTGAAATGGGTGTAAGTTTTTACCTCTTGTTGGTTTGCATAGTAGGATTGCAGAACAAAACAGAGTCTGTACAACAGCTTGACACGTTCTTTTTGATTTACAAGAGGGACGCCTCTTGACAACAGATTCATGAACCTGAACTCTGAGCTGGAGGACTTGAAGTGGCAGGAATCTATACTGGACCAGCAGAGGATGTTGGTTGAAGACATCATCAGGAGCCAAATAGAAGAATGGAAAAAATATCTTTTTTGTAGCAGTTTATAAATAAACATGTTGGTTTACAATATGTTTCTTAATTTCTTTTGGCACTGCAGTGGTCAGATTCAAATTAATGACGTGTATCGCAATATTTCTTAACTCAAATCAACTCTGACCTATGTGACCAATGAAGATATCTGCAACTGCTTCAGTGGTGAGGCTGGGTTTTTTATGGCTGATTGGTTTTAAAGAGGTTAAAGGGGAATTAATTTTTACATTATATGACAGTAACTTGAAGTTGTGTATGAGAGAACATCAGACTTTGTTTTAAAATACTTTGCATATTATGATCCAGGATTATAGGGGGAAAACAGTACAATTGGGGGAATTCTACTTTATCCTATGCTGCTATAGTTACCTGGCCTATATTGCTCTAGTAAAATATTTTAAAGATTTTACTGTATTGAGTCAAATATCACTTTTTATCCAGATTCTCTGCAACAATCGACCAAGGCCATTAAACTTTTACTGCTTGGAAAAAAAGCCAAGCACATCCTGTCCATAGTATGTGTTTGATGTATGACAGTTCAAGGGCAAATCAACTCAGGGTGTCATCTAAAGCTCCCACCAATGAATGCAACATCACATAATAATGAAGGAGGACATATAGGATCTGACCAAAACCTGCTCTCACAGCTTTAAGAAAAGCAAGGGGAGTATTTTATTAGACTGAAGAACATTGTTACAGCAGCATGAGTCAAGTAAAGTTCAAAGCCATTAAAGTTGCACGAGGGTTAAAAGTCAGCCTCTCTGACTGAAGCGTCCTTCAAGTTTAAATGAGAGGAAGAGAAAGTTGCTGTGAATCCGGAGGATTTGGTTTGGCTTCGATTCAACCTGCAAGGCTTCAAAAATTCAAAGGCAGGGATTAAATAATTAAGAAGCTCTGCTGATTTTGACATAAAAGTACTCAAATGTTTGATAATGTAATAATGAGTTCTGAATGATTGAAGTTTTATCGTTATCTAAACAGAATGAGTTGATGTTTAGCTGATTTAGCAGATAGCTGGAAGAATATAGCAGCTCAAGGGGCTAAAAAGAAACTTTAATTTTTGCTTTAAATTGCATAAAAGTTATCATAATTATCTAATTTCCCTCCAGGTCACATTATTTTGGCAGTGCAAGCACCACCAGGCACCCAGCTAGATGTTCCCATTCCCAAAGCTGTAAGTTCTGCTTCATTAGGAATCCTTATTGCTTCCTCTGTCCTTGATGCCTTTCATTCACAGGAGATAATGGCTGTATCTTCCTGCAGGTCCCAAACTGCCCGGCAAAGTATCAGATCTATCTGAAAAGCATCAGAGGGCCCATAGATGTTGTCCTTCTTAACAAAAGAACTGTCAGCTCTGCTCTCGTTGTGCTTCCAGTCGCACCGCCTGAAGAAATTTTGCAGTTTGCCAAGTCAGCGGTATCTATGTCTGAAAATAAAGAAAACAATGATGGACTCTGTGAGGCATCAGCTTTTATCACAAAAAGTACTAAATCTGAATGGGGAGGTGAGCAGGACGTGCAGCAGCTTCAAGAATCCTCTTTTATGAACGCTAGCCGCAACAAAACAGAAGAGTCTGCATGTGAGTGTCAAGGTGAGTATCTAATGTTTTCATTCACCTTGAAACTTTTCATTTAGTCAGTCCAACCTTAAACATTGCTGTATTTCATTGACATCTCTTGTAATCAATGAACATGAAATAGCTCATAGTTTTGAAGTGGAACGAAATTTTCAATTGTTCTACAAATAACAATTGCTGAGATTTCATGAATAAGTTTTTTCACTTCATCTCCCTTTTGAATCACCTTAAATCCACCTTTAAATGCAATTACAATTCAAGTTTTCTTGCATGTTAGGACTGAGTTTTTAAGATTGCCAAATGAATTTAGATTAGAACTTTGACTATACCAATTAGTCATGAATTTCCTCATCCTTCTGGAAGGTAAGCTTCGGTCTTAGCATCAAGTTTTTTGGAGTCTTTAACAGGTTTTCTTTAAGGGCTGTCCTGTATTTATCTCCATCAATCTCCCTTTGCCTCTGACCAGGATCAGTGATGATGCAGAAGAACAGCAATCCCATATCACAATAACAGCACCACCAGATTTTACATTAGAGTTGATTTACAGCGTTTTACATTTAAGGCAGAAAGTTCAGTTGTGCTTTCATCTGACCAAACCACCCTGTTGTGTCGTACACGACATTCAATTCATTTCTGTAAAATGGGGAGTTCTGTGAAGTTGTCTGTTCAACACATTCTCCCAGCTGAGCTGTTTATCGCTGCAGCTCCCCCAGAGTTGTCATAAGGTTCTTGACTAAATCTCCAATTAATGCTCTTATCTACAAGCCTCTTAGCTGAGGTGAATGGGAATGTCTCGGGTATTCTTGGAGTTACTACGAAATATATTCTGCTTTTAATTATCAATATATATTTCTGGTGAAATAATCTGTTGTGTTTTTTTTGTCTAACAAACCTGTGACAGCTTCACAGGCCTCCTAGATTTATGCTGAGATTTTATGACACACATGTGAACTTCATTTCCTACTTCCCTGACTCATGAAGACAATTATTTGTCCTAGGATTTATTTAGGGCCGTCAGCGTGAAAGGTGACTGAATTCATGAAAATGTCACCTGCTGCAGATTTTGTATGTTAAAATGTATTGATATAATATTCCTCAAACTATGGAATTGTGCACCTCTTTAATAATGCGTAAATGTTTTTTTCTTAGGTCAAAACATTTCAAAAGAACTACAGAATCACATAGATTCATCCAAAGGTTGGACTTGCTATTGAAGCTATATTCATTAAAGTTTACAGAGTCGACTTCATTTAAATTTAACATGCCGTTTCTTTTTGTTAGAAGTAATGGATACAGATCTGTTCGCCCAGTTCATTCGCTCAAAAGGTAAGTGTCCTGTAGTTTTTGTCTGTGATTGTATTTCTTGCATATTGTTATTTGCATTAATTATGTTTGCTTCTGTCTCAGTGTTCCCTCCAGTCGTCCAGCTGTCCACATCCCCATCTAAGGCGTAAAGGTCGCTGTAATCAGGAAGAGAGTAACCTGGTTGATGTCCCGTTGTGCTGTTTTTTGGCATCAACACCAACATTTCTTCATGAGCAATGTTTTGTGATGTTTGGTTTAAGTATTTTTTTTTGTCAACAAATAAAAGTTTGACTTATAACACAGAAACTTTCTTAATTCAGTTTTAAAAGCTTGCACTGAAACAGTTTTCTGCAGTGTGTATTATACAGCAGACCTATGATGGTCTCAACCTTTACATCATCTGTGTTTGTGCTGGTTTAAGTGACAAGCAACATAAACCTCGGAACTCCTTAAACAGTACAAACTTTATTCCGTCTATTACCATCAAAACTGTAACTGATGGGAGTGTCACTGTTCATAGACTTTCAAATTATAGAGTGAAAAAAATGCTGTAGCTCCATAAATGACTATATCAAAAACGTGACATTCATTTACTTTGGTTGGAAATGAAACATAAACAACTACCTCTTTAAATATTAAAAAGTGTGACCTCTATCTCACTAGTTATTTCATTTTTGCTGCAGTACATCATGAATTTATTTTACTCTGTCAGCATTACCCATCAAAGCCAAAGGGGGGTGCTAACACTACTATTGTCTACTAGTGCAGTAGATTTAATATCCTGGTTAACCTAACAAATGTTATTGCTTTCAGTTTTATGGTAACACAGAAACCATGAAACCCAAACTTGTTGAAATAATTCTATATGATTGTACATAAAACGAGCCACCAGTTTCAGGTAATACATATTTAATTTAGCTCAGTACATTAACACAAATAACTAGGGATACATGTATTTATCTATTATATGTGTTTATTACCAGTTCGATTTCAAACATTAAATGCCTAATAATTAAAAAACAAAGCGTTTTGGCCCTCTATACATTTTCACAAATTGCAGTTTTAAAGAGAGTCAAGACAGAAAAATCATGATACAAATTTGGGAAGCAGAAGCAAAAAGAAAACAAACGTGGGAGACACACAAAGCACTTTAAAAAAACTGCAAATCAAATGTAAAGCAAAAGTTTGATAACTCAGACTTCTGAGCGCGGCTTTAATCGCTACATTAGAAAAGTAAAAGTTTATTCTTACTTTTTTTGCTTTAAAAAGCGCGTAAGCCAGAAACGTACGTAAAAACGAGTTACTTCCGCATTCACGGCGTTGTTGCTATGGACACCTCAGTGTTGCCCACCGGAGTTGTACCTGCTGTCGTTTATCTTACAAACATAATACAGAAATCGCCTTTCCGCCATCGTTATCGCCTCTAAACGAATTATGGTAACGTGTTTTTAAATGTGACTTTTAATTTACGAATTTCTCACCGTAAATTAAAGTGTTTTAGTTTAATTACCGAATGTGGTTTGTGAATTGTTGGCAGCAGCTGCGGCTTTCTCCGGAAACGCTCGGTGTTATGCTAATAAGCAAAAAGTGATGATGGCGTTTGCATTTAAAGTGGCGCAGGCGCTACGAAAGTTGGGTTTTACGCTTGTTTTTGTCTAACAGCCGCCCAAAAAGGATGCCAAGAAGAAAAAGGCGGAAGCGAAGCCGCCGACGCTAATAAATGGCCTCACCAAGGAGGAGATATCGAGGGAACAGGTTGGGTTATCATTTAAATGTTTTAAATTAGAGGATTGAACCCCGCTAACTTTAACGCCTGTCTCTTTTCAGTAACGCCTGTCCTCTTTTCAGGATATAATATATCCATGTTTTGGGTTCACATGTCTTTGTTTTCAAAATGATGGCTGGATTGTTTACAGATGATGTTGTGTTTCAGATAGAAGAGCATGTTCTGGGACTTCGTGAGGTGCTGGACAGGGAGAGGGTGGAGAGGAATTACTTCCAGCTGGAGAGAGACAAGATTCAGTCCTTTCGGGAAGTCACTGACAGAAAACTGGCGGAGGTTAAGGCTGAACTTAAAAACCTGGAGAAGGCCATGGAAGATGATGAGGCTCATCACATAGTGGGGATTAAGGTAACTTTAATGCTCAAAAACTGCAGCTGCGTTCTCACATTATATGTATATTCTTATATTATATGTTACATGTATTTTGATGAAGGCAAAAAGTCACCTGTGTGTAATCCTTGGTATTGTGTGCAATCTTATGTTTGCAAAGAACTGTTTGGAAGTCTGCAGAAGTTACTATTAATTTTTTTTTCACATACTATGGGAGACATTGTTCCTTATGATGATAATTTTGATTGATTTAGTTGAAAATGAGTTTTTTCAATCTGTAGCTTGAAGTACATAAGAATGCTTAATCTTCGTTATGAATCACAGCCGCCTAAAAGCCCTCACCACTTTCAGACATCACATAGAAGGAAAAAAAAAACCATTTCGCATTTTGAATGAAAAAACTGGATAGATTTTCCATTTTATATAGCTTCATTTGATATCTTTCCTGCCAGGTCTTCAGACAGAAGATGAAGCACCTCCTGTGTGAACACCATAACACAGTCACTGAGCTGGAAGCAGATATTGTCACCACAACCGATGTGCTGGAGGATGAGCAGAGTCAACTGGAGGCAGATCTGTATAGGGAAATGATGGGCATCCTGGTTGAGATGCAGGAGTCCAGCTGTGAAGACGTTTTCAAAGAGCTTCTGCTGGTTCGTCCTGTACAGAATAACATTAAAACACCTCAACATTTCTGGCGCGCACTTGAGTGTTTTCTTTTTCCTTCAAACAGAAACATGAAGAAGAAATGACTGCAGCTAAGGAGAAGTGGGAGAGACTTCTGAGAGGTGAGCAACTAATTTACGACAGTTCTGCATTTCATAATGTCAGCAATATAATGAGCTACATCTCTGATTCCTGTTCAATCAGAAACTTCAATCAGAAATAAGACAGAATTACAAGAGCTGGAAAAGGAACACGACTACATAATGAAAAGTGTGACATGTGAGCGAGAGCTGCTCTGGAAGAGCCACTTTGGCAATCTTAATGAAGACATTGACAGATGCATAAGTGACGCAAAAGATCTTATTAGTATGTTGAGCAAAGATACAGGAAAAGAGATCACAGCTCTTAAGGTAAGCCCATAAATCAAATAGCTACTAGACTGATCAATTGACTGATTAAAATCAATGTTTTGTTTTGATTTAATGTAATTTTGTTATTCAATAACAATTGAATAAAAAAAAAATGCAACTTTACACACACATATTTTTTACTAATGAATGATTATTTTTAGATTTCTCAGTTGCTGCAGCTTTAATCTTGATGTGTGGTAATTAACTCCCATAAGTTAATTTTTTTGTCATTATAGGAATGCAGAGATAAAAAGGTCTTGGAGCTGAAGAGCATGAAAGAGGAATTTCATGCTCTTTTGAAAGAAAATAAAGAATTTGCCAAGCGTGTTGCAAAAACCGAGAATGAATTTAGCCGTCTTGAAAGGAGGTCAAAATCCTTCTCACAGTCAGAGGTTGTGTTGATGATTCTTTTTGTAACTGGTTGCTGTTATAAGTGGGGTTTTTTTACTGTCTTTTTTGAAGCATAATTTGCTACAATGTGTTTCACAGAGTAATTTAACAATTCCTCAAAAAAAGATTCTGAAAGAGAAGAAGACAGAGTTTCAAATCTTGGAAGAGCAATTCAAGAAGGTAAACGCTTTTTATTAAGATTTTTGATGGCGAGAGTGAAAGAATCATTCATATGACTGAAGTTGTTTTTAATCTTTGTGTAGCTTCAGATTGAGGTGGAGGAACTACAATCGTCTGTTCCAAAGACAGTTGATATGGCGGAGAACCAAGCAGATCTGTCTCTCAGGCCTCTGGAGGATGAGCTGATGGCTCTGAATGACAGTGTGGAGAAGGTCCAGGCTCAGCTGCAAGCCGTGATCTCAGCCCCTAACGTGGACCAAACCGCCGTCACTGAAATCACCCACAAAGTCGAGGTAACGTCGTAAGCTCACACCTTTGGTGGCCACTCTTTTAAGTTCTCTGAGGATGTTTTCGAAAGCATAACAAAAAACACATTTACTTGCAGAAAGAACTGGACATCAGAAATTCTGCTATCAAGAACCTAAAGCATAAAAGATATCTGATATCAACGGTCAGTCTATGTTTACTGGAGAAAATGAGAGTCTTGCATTTGATCGCGCTGTTGCATGAAACTTTTGGTTTGATTTGGATCAGTGTCTTACAAATAGATCATGTGAGTTTTTGACTTGTATTCATGGCAGATGAATGTGTCTCTTTCAGGCTCACACTGCCGCGGTAGAGAGGGCGGAGGGCGTCTTCGCGACGTAAAAAAGATCTTGACGAACCCTTGATTTCCCACACAAGTTGCTTTATTATATCTGGTCAGATCTTAAATTTGTTTATTCTTTTATTCTTGGTTTAATTTTTAGTTTTAGTTACTCTTTGACAAAACTAAATACTGATTTAGGGCAGGAAATCACCTTATCAGAAGGAATTCAAAGCCAAACATTCAACCTCATATTGACCTCCTAAAACATCTCTGTGACCAAAGCTGCGCTGTTGTAGTTTTTTTTTGGTGAAATAAACAAAAACAAATCTTGTTAGGTGTTTACAATAAGTTGCTTTATGATGAAAACGGTGCATGTTTATCAAGATATGGCTCAAGGTAAGGGATTTCAGTAGTTGACTAAAACCAATCAATAATAGAATTATAAACTGTTTTTGATGGGATTTAATCTGTGTAATCTTAGGATGTAAAAGGGTTGGAGTCACATAATAGACAAAACCTCATTTAATAGTTAGATTTTACTCTCCTAAATGTTCAGTTACTTACCTAGGAGTTTACAGTATGTAAACTCCTAGGTTTACATACTGTAAACCTAGGAGTATGTAAACTCTATAACATAGTATGTTTACATAGTGTAAACATACTATGTTTACAGTATGTAAACTCCTAGGTAAGTAAGCTGGGTTTAAAATCAAACATTATTTATAAAATCAAAGCTTTTTTAGGTGATTTTAGTGAAATGAAATGGGCTTTTTGCTATTAGCTCCTGCTACATTTTTGTCTTTACCTAAAGTTTTTGTTCTGTAACTGGACTCACTGACACACATTATACGTTATTTACACACAGACTAATAATTTCCAGCTTTTATTTCTGTTAATTGTGATGGTTTTCTGCTTGCAACTGATAAAATGACATCCAAGATTAGATTACTACATCAGACCAATTAAATGTATATGAACACACATGAGTGTATATGATAATACAATCATGGACTTACTGAAACGTACTTGTTTAAATGTCATCATGCTCTAATTTATTGAACATGACTGAATTTGTCATGGTGCATCTAAAAGGCTAGAAAAGAAGTAATGCAGAATTGTTTGTATGTGTTAAGCAACGGTATAAAATTAATTTTCTTTAGCCTTTGTAATAGTTAATTTTGCTGAGTAGTTTGTGGAGATGAATTTGTTTTGTTTTGCTGTGTTACAGTGACTGTAAGAATTTTAGAGGTGATACAATAAAGCCGTTTCTGCAGAAGTTATTTTTTGAACCCACAACCCATAAATTTGATGCATGTGAGTTTAATTAAATATAATGGTTCAGAAAAACTCTCTTCAGATTTTGTTGTCTCACAAATCTCTGACCTGCTGCTGCGCTGCATTTATTCACTACTCAAATCATTATAATGGGATCGAGGCTCTTAACCTCATTAAACTGGAAGCAAATTGGAATAGATCTTCATGTCTGCCTAAAATATGAAAAACAATCTGTGATATAATAATTAATTCTAACAAATAACACAAAAATTGGCAACTAACTATGCAGTTTTTGTGTTTGCCATCTTACAGATGTCTTCTCTTTTTGTTTTTTGTCACACTTAAATGTTTCAGATCATCAAACAAATTCAAATATCAAACTCATCCTGGAGGTCAGGAAGAACCCAGAGCAACATCTAGTGCACTGCAGACCTAATTAATCTCAGCTAAGGTCAGTGTTCATAATTCAACAGTAAGAAAGAGCCTGGATGTAAATGGCATCCATGGGAGAGCTGCAGGGCGAAAACTGGTGCTGGCTCACATTTACCAAAAAGACCTTTATGATAAACAAGACTCTTGCAAAAACTATTCTGTGAATTTGCTCGATGAAAGTGGAACATTTTGGAAAAGGTGCACAGTGTTTCATTTGACTTAAAACTAGCACAGCATTTAGAAACACAATATGATAATGAGAAATACAAATATTGTGGTGTTCTGGATATTTTGCTGCTTTGGGGCCTAGAAGACTTATCATAACTGATGGACAAGGGAGTCCTGACCTTAAGCTCAAGCACAACTGAGTCATAATTACTTCTTCATTAATGGTAAGAGCTGTTGGGAAATATTTATTTTCTTTTGATAAATTAAATCAAAACTAAAAAACTGCTTTGTGTGTTTATTCAGATTATCTTTGTGTGATTAAAGCCTGTAAAAATCTCTTTCAATGCATAAGAAAATTAAAATGCATGACAACTTGTTTGACAGAGAGAATTTCCTGCTTTCTGATATAAAATCCTCGGCTTTTGTGGTTTTGTTTTCTTTCTGCTTATAATGTAGACCAAAGGTTAGCCTCATACCATGAATTTAAAAAAATCTCAACAGCAGCAGCGTTTTTGCCAGCTGATTTTCCTCCTGCCATGGCCGAGTTTGCAACAGAGAGAGGAGGAAGGTATGGGGCGGATCCAGTTTCTCATTGACTATTCCCGTGGTGAATCGAGCCCTGCTCCACTGAGTGATTGCTGTTCCCTGTGGCATCAATAATATAGGAGGAAGTTATTGTCCCTGCGCAGGCCGCAGTATCGCAGAGCTGAAGCAGGCGGAGGAAGGGGCTGGTCCTTTCACCCGGCCCTCTTGGGTTTCAGGACCCGCAGACAGTGCTTTGACTGCTCTTGTGCCCCTGCACAAGGCCCAATTGTACGTTTGTACGACTGAGGTATAGGAGAGACTAAAACAGTGACAGGCTGCACAGTCCTGCTGACCCGGCCCCTTCGGTAAAACTACACCCCCAACAAACCCAGTGTCACCAGATGAGTCCCAGCTCAATGGGGGATCAGTCAGCGGGAGACACTGGACGGTTCGAGAACAGGACAGATACCCTGGGTGTGATTAATATGATCCAGATTTTCACCTTGTTTACACACATAGCTGACAGCTGTGACCTTCCTGTAACATCATAATACATCAGACTACTGAGAGAATACAGTGTGCAAAGCTTTTGTCTGTAAAATGTTTGTTAGAATTGACACAAAACAGTGGAATAAATCCCACATTTGAAGCTTCAAATAAACGCAAACCTTAGGAACTAAGCAGACATGCATCTCATACATCTAAAATAGCAGAGTAGTCGTGGTCAGTGGTGGGAGGGGTGCCAGAAAGAGAGTGAAAGGTAGAGAAAGTCACAGCGGTAGTGAAATAGAGACCCACTCAGAAGGAGGGCAGCGCACCGTGTAATGGATACTATAAGTTTCAAAAGATGCTGGAAGACACTTAAAGAAAAAAATGGATTATTACCACTGGTAAGTTAAAAATCTTTCTTTATTTGCTTACTTTTTGTACATATTAAAAAAAATAATTGCATATATTTGAAATTAATTTAGCTTTTATGCTAAACACATGAATAAACTTTAGATATTCAAAGTTTTTGGCTCTAATAGACTGTAGTTAGTTTAATGACACTATGGAGACCTGGAAGCCTGCAGTGTAAGTCGTAAAGTGCAATGCAAGCCAATCATTATGCTTTAATAACTTCTGACTGCTATGATGTTTATTCCTACTGCTTCATATATAAAAGATGAAACTCAATGAAAGTTAAACAGAATTTTTGTAAAATCTACAGGGAAGAAAACCCTTAAAAGAAAAATGTGACACCGGTTTTGTGCTGCACGTGCTGGCATGAGATGACGATGGTGAAGAAAGGGTCAGGAATGGCCGCTTTTAAATTCACAACCATCATAGTTTGTGCTGTTTTGGTTGGGCAGAGGACGGGTGAGTGCGATACCATTGATTACCATGCTGGCAATTTTTTGGATCTGTATGTTTTTCAAGGCTATAGCTCAAGCTGTCTCCTTTTTTTTGTTTTGTTTTTGCTGTTTTAGGAGGTGAAAAAGTGGACCACAGAGATGCTCTCCTGAAGGAGATTGTCTCAAAATGGAGTAAAGAAGCAGGTTTGAGAGCCCCACCTGACACAAACAAGGACCAGTCTTTGCCCTCCTGGGCTAGAAGCATTATGGGGGGTTTAAAAACTCTGTTTCCCAGTAAGAACCTGCCTTCATTAAACAAGCCAATAGACAGACGCCGTCTCTCTGGATTCCTGTACAACATTTCTCTGTATCTGCAAGAGATGGGTGCTGAGCTGGAGGACGTACCCGCAGAGCAAGATGAGGACCAGCTCTGGGAGAAGGTGCTCCATTTCTTTCTCCAGTCTGAAGGCAACGCAGCCCTGAACCAGTGGAACGGCCGTGTACCGCCCAGACCCAGCGTTAAAGTGCAGGACTGGTTTTTGTCCCTGAGAGGAAGCCCGCACTGGGACTGGCTGCTGGGGCTCCTGCAGAGTCTCATCTCTCTGTCCGAGCGTCAGCCCCATAGACCCATCTTGGCTTTCTTATCTCAGAACTGGAGGACGGTGAGCGCTGTGCTGGAGGCGACACTGCAGGCTGTAATCAGTGGGACTTACGGCCAGGCCAGCGCAGGCCTTCAGAGCTTCATCTGTGCTCTAAAAGGTCGTAGCGATTGCGCCTTCAGTGTTAGCTGGCTTCAGCAGCTGCTGCAGTTCCTGGAAACGCGCAGCTGGAAGCCAGTGGTCAGTTTGCACCCAGCAGGGGAACCTGCAGGACCCGGCCAGGGTTCCAGTGCATTTGGACGCTTTAAGCCCTTCAGCTTGCCCCCTGAGGCCATGTTGAGGCAGGATGGGTTTTCAGCAAATGCGTCTGCAGAAAGCACGACGGGCACAGAGGACGAGTTGGACTCGGTGCACAGCTTCCTGCTGCAGGCTTTGTCTCGTTCAGGTGGCGGGGATCGAGGCGGGCAGCAGGCTCAGAAAAACCTCGCTCTCGTGCAGAGTTTGGATGGACTCAGACGAGGCCTTCTGCACAGGGTGGGCAGTTCTGTCTACGGCAGCCTGCGGGAGAAAGTGTCACGAGTTACCCTGGCCATACTCGATGACGTGAGCGGCCTGGTGGAAGTGCCGCAGGCCAACTTTCAGGGCCGCTGCTCTGTGGGTGAGTATGAGAGATGAGACGATTATCTACCCAGCTGTCAGACATGTCAGGATTGACACAAAACACTGAAAGAGTCAGTCACAGCATCTGATTCAGAAAATGTTTGATGATTTAAAAAAAACAAAAAAAACAATTGCAGTTCAAAGAGAAAACGCTTCTATTGTGGGTTATTACCAAACATTTGGAGGCTTCTGAGAATAACTACAAAAAAATCACCCACATAATGAAATAATCATTTTGTTTTTGCTAATAATTGGTGCCACAATTATTGATCATAAACTAAAATAGATGTAGCTGAAGACTTCTCGGGGACACCCATTAGATCAATTAGCAACGACTGTGTAGTTTATCATGAGGGTAAAATTATAGTGGTGAGAATTGTGATCTATCAAGATAGAAAATAAACTCTTAGGTGTACCTAAATGATGCTTAGGTACACCTAAAAACTGACAGTAAGTTTGGGATTGATAAGGCTTTAGTTAGTCCTTTGATCGATTAATAGGAGCGTGAATAAATATCAACAGATACTCATAAGTTGAAAACATGAGTAAATGCAGTAATTGTTCATTTATTTATTTAAATGTATTTATTTTTTTGTGAGATTATGTTTCGATTTTCTCTAAAAATCTTAACCAAGTGTTGCACTGTGCTGAATTAAGCATTTAAATCCTTTTTAAGAGCTTAATCAGTCTGGCTCATGTTTCGTGTGACAGTGACTGACACTGCTTTAAAATCTTTATAATCATTCAGTTCGGTGAAAGCTTCTGTTGTTGGCTCAGTTGAGCTCTTTATCCGCCCGTTGAGGCCAGTAACATTATATGTTAGGCATTGTTAACTGAGCTGAGCTGTTGCATCACTCATAGTTGTTCACTGCAGGAGGCTTCAGCTGCTTTTTCTGTCATTCATTCACTTGATTTTCAAATATTTGCCTCTGATTTTTCTTTCTTAAGGTAACTTAAGGCAGCTGATCTTGTGGTAAGTATATTTCATTGTTGAGGGGCAGTTTTTCTTTTTTTTAAAAAAAGTTTTCTTTGCAAAGAAATGTGCATACTCAAATAATTGTTTCCGTGGCTTTGCAGGGGGATAAGACATAATGTGATGTGGAATGCTCAGGCTTTGGGCGCCAGCTCTCAGGGTCTCCCAAGTTCACTCCCGTTTCTGTCCTGCCCCTCCACCCAGGAAGGGAAATTACAGTCACCTCCACTGGCAGCTCAATCATCTTCAAAAAAGACTCCATCTTCTCAGAAACCCTTCAAACAGACACAGAGTCGTAAACCCTCAGCTGCAGGTCCCAGACAGTTCACAGAGAGTAAGAGGAAGCAGAAACAGATGGAGTTCTTCACCTCCACAGAAATTCTTGAGGCAGCGTGTAATGACTCCATCCCAGGCTTGACGGGCGTCTCGAACTTCACCGTCTTCCTCTACTGCAAACTGTTTGAAGGGGAGAACGGGTCGGGTAATCCTGCTGCGACCCATTTAGGGCTCGATCTGCATGCTACTTGCTCGGATGCAGCCTGGTACCTGTCTGCAGCTGAGGAGGACTTCTTTTGGGTCCATGTCTGCACTGAGTTCTTTGCCCATGAATTCAACAACACAGTGTGTGCCAACTCTTCTTTCTGGCTGCAGAAAGCACAGCAGGTAAAGAGTAAATTTTTAATGAGTGCAAACTTTTGTTAGTGAGTTTGAAAGTTGGCTTAAACCTTCCTCAGGGAAACTGTGCAGGTTTAAAATTAAACTCCACCTGAAAAATGTGTAAAATTGATAATCACATTAAAATATATTAATGTGTACAGAATTTGTCATTATCTACTAATTGATTAGTTTAATATCTATAGAATAATCAGTCGAAAAGATTAATTCTTGTAATGAAAGAGCTTCTCTTATGCGTACAAGGAATGATGATTTACTGCTTGTTTATGTTGTCAAATCCCATAATAATGTATATGTTATAATGGGAATTTGGACTTACAATAAAATGAATAACATGTAATACACTATTACACTTTTATGTAATCCATTAAGAACTATTCCCTCGTGATAAGATTAGAACAACACTTGATATAGAAATAATCTGAAAAATAACAAGGAAATTCAATGAGCTGATCAGATGTAAAAATTTTATCCGTAATCTATAATCTCTTTGAATTGTGAGGAAATAGATTTTCTTTATGTGTCTCTGAATGTGAAGCGAGATGCTGACTATTGATTGTTTCTCTTTGGGTCCAAAAGTAGTTACTTCAGTTTTGTTTCAGCTGGAGAAAGAAATGGCACATCGATATGTTGATTTAATCTATGCATCTACTCAGCGCTTGAATGTGTTTATAGTCACTTGGTGACATTGTAAAGTAGAGCTGTGGTTATCATACCATGCATATGGTATGGTAACTAAGCTAATTACTTGTTATAATTTGAGTTTGCAGGACCATGTAGGTATTGAACAAAAGAGTCCCAAGATGGTACTTTGAGGTACCCCACATATGAATTTTGAAAAAGACTCTAACCAGTGAAGTTCTGACCCAGCTCTCCGGTCGCTTAATCAGAATATCACGGTCAGCAGTTTCAAATGCTGCACAGAGATCAAAAAGGACCAGCACTGTCAGCCAATAATGACATCATCTCTGTGACTTAAAAGTGTTATTTGACCAGTGGTAAAGTCATGGATTTACAAACACTGAGGGGAACGTGAATAGATGTGTGCAAAAGGTGAGGTCTAATGTGATTGCATGCACTGCAAATGTTCACTAATCTCCATGCTTGTGTGTGCAGGCTGCAGCGCTACAGGACTATCATTTCTTTAACCACACAAGCATCGATGACCTTTGTGTGCAGCTGTCAAGAGATGCAGCAGTGAATCCAGAACTCAGTGAGAACTGTCTGGCTCAGCTGGGCAGCAGGTCGCTCAATGCTGAAGCTTTCAGAAACTGCTTCCTTCCTAATAACTCGGTACTGATCTCAGCTCTGTGTGGTTCCCAGCAGTCCCTGCCAGAAGGCAGCTGGGCTGCAGCATACTGCTCCAAGATTGACAACCTCACCTTTGACGACACATTCAGGGAGCCCTGTGAGTATAGGGACTGGACTGTGGAAAGTTTCACCAACTTCACCCTGCTGGAGTTGTGTGGACAGACTCAGGGACTGAGAGAGCACATGTGTTTAGATGCTACGCTCTACAAGCAGTTGGTAGGACTGATACCACAGTTTGCAGATGTCTGTTCAGACCTGCGGGCTCGGCAGGAAAGCAGTAAGTGCCTTCTACAAAGGATTTTTGACATGCTTCCAGCACGATATGAGTTCGACACCTCCCAGCTGTGCGTGGAGCCGGCCCCAATGCTGATCGACCTCATACACAAGCTGAGCGTCTGTGAGATGGACGTTGGCGAGCGAGAGGGGTTTCTGGTGGTGCTGGGCTACGTGCTACGTGTCTTGGACTTTGTGGTGGGTCTGTCCTCGGGGCTGGACGAAGGGGAAGGAGAGGCGAGACAGGGTCTGGGCCAGGCCATCCTCCTGTCCAGTCTCCTTGACAACACTTCCTGGGCCAGCTTGCAACCCGAGGCCTCCATGAGCGTCCTTCACACCGTGGGGGTCTTCCTGCGCAGAGAGCAGAACGCCACCGTGAAGGAGGACCTGCTGAGCTGCTTCAGTGTAAGATGCACTTGTTCAGTTCTCTTTCTGTCTCCTACACTATAGCAACAAATCAGTAACCTGCTTCTGCTGTGACTTCAGCCCGTCCTCTGGGACCTCATCCAGCAAAATGGAAACTCGTCCGCTCTCAGGGTTCTGTTGCAGGTACTGTGTCTTCGCAGCTACAGTTGCATTTTGCAGAACTGATTGGCTCACTTGACTGTTTGACGTTTATTTCACTAGGAGTATCTCCAGATGCCAAAAGACAGCATCCGTTCTCTGGTGATGTCTGCAGAGAAAGAGGCTGTGAAGAGGTTTATCTCACACATGCATCAAAGTTGGGAGCAGCTTCAAGTTGAAACCAGCCAGGTTAACTCCACATTACCTGCTTAGTCCACATTAATCAAACTACAGTTTGTTTGCCTAGAATGTCCGGTTTAGTTGGGGAGGTGTGAATGCCCAATCAATACGGATCAGGAAAGTGAACTCTAGTCCACCTAAGACCCTTGGTCTCGGTTCAGATAAAGTGTACTCTGGCGTGGTTTTAATTCGTATGTGAATGCAAATGGACCAGAAATTGCTCCAAAAGCAGGAAACGGAATATAGCGCAGGGCATTCTGGGTAAATTCAACCAAAACAAACATCAGCAGGAGAAATGAGTGATCTTTTACCAGACAAAAGAAAAGTCCCACAGCTACTAAAATTTGATGTCACTCCATTTTTGTTTACATTTTGTGAAGAAGAAAATTTGCTCAATGTCTTTGGAGGTTTTTGTTTTTGGTGCCGCTCGACCACAGACAAGGTGAAGGCAAGGTGTTTTTTTCAATGAGTTTGGATCATTTGACACAGTGCAGTGCCTAAGTGAACTGCAGCATCTGAAAATGTTACAAATGTTACAATTTTGGTCCCAATCAATCTGGTCTATCTTAGTATTATGTGTGAAAACACCCTTAATGTTATGCTAAAGCAGTTTCTGTTGGTTCTCATAAGCAAAGCAAAGACAGGGTTCATTACCTATTTCATAATGTTTTGTACTTTTTTGTGGTCATTTCAGAGCTATTTAAATGAATCTCCATGTGTCTTTCGTCTCTCATCTTGTTTAATTTTCTATTGCAGGCCTCTCAACAAGAGTTGCAGGCCATGGAAACAATGACAGCGGCTTTCATCCACAAGTTCCCCAGAGTGACCCCAGAGCTCTTTGTTGACCTTTCTCAGTTCATCCCCTTCATGTCTGTTTCCGACATAATGAACTTCCCAGCCTCCTTGATCGTGAACGACAGCGTGTGAGTCACCGGTACAGTATTCAATGTTTAATTCAAAGATGACTCTCCTCCAACAGTCTTTCTGTTGCTGCTCCTCAGGCTGACAGCCATTCGTGACCACAGTGCAGAGATGAAGTCGTTGCAGAAGAAAGCTTTTGTGAAACGACTGCTGCAGTCGAACACGGTGGGCGACGTGCCCACATGGCCTCCGTACTTCCTCAGCTCCATCCTCCCACTTCTGCCTTTCTTACCTGTCCATCATTTTCAGCAGCTGACATCTCAACAGGTCAGAGATTAAATAAAAGCACCTCAGGTCCCTGCAGTGCTGAATAAGGAGAAACACTCAATATTGAGCTGGAAAGGCTTCCATGTTGTTTTAAGAAAAACAAAACATATGTAGTAATAATGAAGCCTGATGAGTTATGAAGTTACTGAATTTATATTCTGTGTCTTTGTTATTTTTAGTAAATCTTGTTTTAGTTAGTTTCAACATTTCATCGATTCTCTCCTCAGCTGTCTCCTCTGGTGGAGATGATAGGGAACAGCAGTCTGGATGGCGTGCGGGGTCGCCATGTGCTGCGGACCATTTTTAGTAAGAGAAAGAACCTGACTGCTGATGACCTGCTCAGGTGGGACTGAGATTCTTTATGTTTACTTATGTTTAGTCTTGTAACTACGTTGTAATTACAAGCAACATGCAGTTTTTGGATAAATTTCATTGTAACTGTGCTGCCCGTTTTTAGTAGAGCCACCGGCTAAATATTAATCCTTTGGAAATTCATATTTACAAGACTTGTTTGAACTTACCTTTGATTTGAAGAAAAGCAAGGTAAAGAATAAAGTACTTTTCCAGATTAGGAGTTCTTGCGTGCTACTTGGATCCTGCAGAACTGGGTTTATATCTCCAGGACCCAGCTGTGTTCTCTGCTCTCTGGCAGCAGCTGTCTGAGTGCATTTCCAAGGGGCTCATCAGTTCCAGCGGCAGGGTGAGTTGCACACTACTTGAACCACTTGCAGCATAAATCAGAGATTTTTTTATGTGCTGTTATAGTTTGTTTGACTGACTCTGCTTAACCATGTTTCACGGACACTACAGCTGTCATCCTGGTTGATCCCAGCTGTATCAAGCAGGCTGAACATCAGCACCGTGACTTCTTCAGAGCTGTCTGCACTTAGTGGTTTGCTGCCCCAGTTAGGAGCCTCCTTCCTGCTGTCACTCACCTCACAACGACTGCGGGAAATCCTGTCACAGCCGGGTTTTCACACATTTTCACCAGCGCAGGTCAGCAGGGAGGGAGTGCTTCTTCACACTTTTAGTTTCGCGTTATTCTGCTTTGCTTTTGTAGCTTTCCTGTCTGTTTCAGCCCAGTGGGTGTGTAATAATGAGCAGAATATCTTACAAAAAAGGTTTTCAAAAGCCTTTCATTTCTGTTCCCAAACATCCTGCATGGAACAAAGATGCATGTTACTTTTCCACAAAAATCGAATACTGATTTTGATTGAAAAGTTCAATTTAAAATATATTTTTTGAATAATTTTTTATTCATTTTTCTTTTGTTCTGTCAATTTGTCATTTGTGTGCAAATCTGACAGTTGTACCCAAAAGACTTACATCTACAATTGCAGTGAGAGGTTTTCATTAATGAAGAAATGATGACAAGTATGCATACAGTAGTACCCTGAAGTTCATAGTTTTATGTGACATCATGTGTAGAAGTTGTAATACCATTAGCGTTTAAGATGCCTGAATTTTCTTTGAAAGTCAACTCTTTCGTTGCATAACACGTTTTTGCATCCTCTCTTCAGTCATTTCAGATTTTATCCAAGATCACAAAAGACGGCAATGTAAGTAATCATGTCCAGAACATTTGCACTGACTGTCAGCCATTTGCTCTCTCAGCACCGTGTTGTTCTCCTCCTGCCAGCTTTCTGTGGAAAACCTGTGCAGCCTGAAGCCACTACTCTCCGGTCTCTTCCCCGCTGCGCTCCGAGACCTCCGGTGGACTGATTTCAGTGAGGATGCCCACTGTGCGTGCTGGAGAGGGCTGCAAACTGAGCTCAAGCCTGGACACAAAGCCATGTTATTCAATGCAATGCAGGAGGTGATGCTCCTTTGTCGCCTTAGAACATCTCTTCTCAGTGTCTTCTCCTTTCTTAGTTTATGCTGAGGACTTCATGTCACATGCTGTATGCCACATTTCAAAGTTTCAGTCTCAATGCTCAGTCTTAAATGATGAATGAATCAGATTAATTTGTACTTTCAGGAACAGTGATGTATCTAATATCTTCTTTATTGGTTGTTTATTGACAGACTCTCCTCAAAGACTCGAGGAACTTCTCTCAGCAGGCAAACTGTCTGCTTCCCTTTGTCCCTCTGAGAAAGCTGATACCAGCTATGAGTGGCGACACCATTTGGAGAGGCATTAGCGCATACAGAGATGTACAGTGGTCTCCACAGCAGGTACACATTCTGCTATAATCTGCTCCTGTGTGCAGCCTCGCGTTTCTGTGAAACGTCAACAGTGGGTAAAAGGAGAATCTTCCCAGCTTGGTGTCTTGCTCGCTTTTGTCTGGAATCCATTGGATATGCTTCAGATGAGCCTTTCAGGATATTAATCCTCCGTTCACATCAGCTGCCATCAGACTAATTACTTTGGATGTAGTACAATAGTGTGCTGGAGTGTGGCATAAATTAATAATGGCTGCCTTAAAGGGATTTTTATCACAGCCAAGAATGTATGAGCGCGTTTTCACCACCTGTTCTCAGCCTAACAAGACCTGAATTAATTTAATAAAGATCACCCTTTTCACTTATGCTGAAATCTACGACATCCTGTTGATGAGTTATATTCTGTCCGTATTCTGCCCTGAATCTTTAACATGGTTAGATACTAGAGTTGATCCTAAAGCCATATTGATATAAATTACAATGCAACCTTATTTTGTATGTTTGCTGTTAAGCAGGAATTAATCTCATTGCAAACAGAAAACATTTTTGGCCATTTTGAGCATCAAAGTTTTGCCTGGAGCAGCTGCTCTCCTGCTATTTTCTTATAAAACCACATGGATAAAAAATATTCTTCTTGGCTCAAGAGTTGTTGGAAAAAAGTAACAATAAGACACAAATCCAACTTCTTACACATCTTTGCTTCTAAAGAGCATTAAAAAAAAGTTTTGAACTATTTTGAACCAATGCTTTAGGGTAGGAGTCAGTAACCTTTGGAACCTGTTTCAGTACATACATAATAAATAATCCTGCCCCTTTAAAATGTACAATAATCTCTCATTTTTATGCACAGGCTCAATTTCTGTTCAGACAAATCAATGAATTCAAAAACATCACCATCAAGACGGTGAAGTGAGTCTGACCTTCTGTATTCCTGCTTTTGATCCTGCAGCATAGCCACAGCAAATAGTTACTTTAGATTTCCAGCAATGATCTACAATGACCTCTCTGCTGCCAACAGAGATCTGGGTCGTGTTGCTGCTGGAATGAGTTGTGACTTTGTGAGGCGTTTTACCAACCACACAGATTTTACTGAGCTGCTTCAGTTTTTGACTGATCTACCTGGAGGTCCAAGACCGGCTCTGGTAAGAAGCAAACCTCATCCACGCAACCATAAAATGTAACTATTACTGGACGTATAGTTCAGGAATAATGTTTACGCTTATTTTTATTATATTTCCAGCGAAAATGCCTTGTAGATGAGCTGCGGAAAACACCTGAACTTGACTTCGGTTCTTTGAGTTCTGGGTTTGCAGCAACATTGCCGTAAGTAAGCAAAGTGTTTTAGATAAATATAGCACATTTCTCCAGTCACTACATTTGAAACGGTTTGCTTATTTTCCAGGGTAACAATGCTGGAGAACCTGTCAAATGCGTCTGTCAGAGGAATCCTGAGCCACATTCAGCTGCACTTTCTTGATTTCCTGAGACTGCCTCATTATAAACAGACAAATTTAGCTGAGAAAGCCTTATCTGAGCTGGTAAGGTGCTACTGTAACGTCACAAATGCCTTATTTACTGCAAGATGCAAACTTGGTTGCACACTGCAATATGTTTGAGGTGAGGAAGTGTGATCGGAAAGCAGATGGCGGCGTAATTTTAAACACTAATTAGTGGAGTAGGAAGTCACCGGTTTGTGTTAAAATAACTGAAGTGATAAAGAGCTGCCATGACAATCCAGAGGAAATACCAACTCAGGAGCCAGGCTGAGTGATGGGGAGTCATAAAATATTAAAAATAATATTTGTTAGCTCAGAAGCAGATGGAAAATGATTTTGAAGCAGTCTTCCCCTCGCTCAGCAGTTTTTACTGAAGTGGAATGATGACGTTGTGAAGTCAAGCTAATCTGGAGGATTTCTGTTTGTGCTGTTCCACAGGGTTCTTCTCTGGCTCAGGGGATGATTGATGGCGCCCTTCTGGACGTCCTGGGGCCTCTGTTGCCATTTTTGGACAGAGACAGTCTGGCTCTGGTGGACAGAGGAGCGCTGGCTCTGCGGCTGGAAGAGATGAGGAGTTTCTGCCTTCCCAAAGAGGCGCTCAGAGACATCAGTGACCTTCTCACTCAGAGAGATTTGCTTGGGTAAAACATTTTCACCTGTGCATGGATTAGCTGATTGGTTTGATGGATGTAGAGTCTAAGTTTGGCTATCTTTGACTGTAAATGCTGTCCACAGTTTACAGTTTGTGTTCTATGCTTACATGTATATATTGTTTTAATAAAGCAGGAGTAATGATAGCATGCTTGTGGTTATTTGCCAGAAATCCATCTAAATGGCAGGTTGGGGACGTTGAACATCTGGGAAGGTTGGTGTTTGCTCTCTCAACAAAACAGATCAACTCCATTCCCCTGGTGAGTCTCAAATAAACGAATTTGTAAACTAATTCAGACTTGTCATTTCTGTAAATCTACGAGAATAATTCAAACTAATATTTTTCTGGGATTTATGACCTTGCTTTTATTGAACAGACGGTATTAAACAAGACCACAGTGGAGCAGGTTCTGGTGGGTCAAAAGCGCTGGGAGGAAAGTCTGGTCGGTGGGATCTGCATCAGTCAGTGTGTGGACCAACAGTACCACAGAAAGCAGACCTGGAGTCTAATTCGAGGAATTGTCAAAGCACGAAACCGGAGAGCGAAAGGTAAAACACATGATTCTGAAACATTTTACATGTGAACTGAGTTCAATTATAACACTGGTTTCGTCTGTGTGTTTTACTCAGTGCCAGTTCCAAGCTGTGCGGACGTCAGAGGAACGTTCCCGTCTGCATGGACCCCCACCCAGCTTCGCCGCATGTCCCTGGATGAGCTGAAGGCGTGTGTTGAGGTTTTTGGTCGGGATCCGTCGCTGAGCTCTGAGCAGCGACGGTCGCTCTGGGGGAAGCTCAGGCAGGTCAGAGAAACTCCACACAACACGTCACTCATAACAGGACAAATGCAAGACATTTTCACATAGTCCTTCCTGCGACCTGCAGGACATTCCATGGTGCTTATAAATGAATAGATTGTCATCATTTAAGAGATGTCCAGGGGCAAAAATGTGGAAAACTCACATTTGCTAATTTTTGTACTTCCTTTTGGGTTTACTGCCTCTAAAAACAGCCCAAGTGCTAAAAATAAACTCCCTGCCATTTTTTGAGAATAAGTTCATGTTTTTTGCAGTTTCTAAAATGACCTGTTTCGAAACCCATTTGAATGTAACATCACGAATCAGCAGGCTCTGCCCCTCTCCCAGCAACCCAACTTGACTTCCATGCTTTTCATTAAACTCACATTTCTGTTTTTAAAAAGTAGTTTTTTTTTTAATTGGTCTGATGCAATATTCAAATGCCATGTTTTAATTACCTCTATGTGGAAAATAATCACGATAAAGAGAAATAAATGCTTTCAAACATTCATCTTTATGTATTTGTTCTATAAATGTGTCAAAGTTCTTGAAATAAATTGGCTCTTCAGTAATATTCACTTTTTTTTTAAATGGGCCTGTAAATGCTCACCACGCTGTTTAGAGTTTTGTTTTTAAGATGAAATTAAAACCACGGTACTCCATGTTCAAGTTTGTTGCTGTAAAGGATATGAGTCTGAAATGTCCTGACTTCTTCTGCGGACTATGAACTCTGCTTCGTTCGATGCAGTCCTGGAGTCCGGCGAGGGAGCTGAGAGCGGATCAGGTGCTAGCTTTGGGGTCATTGCTGACAGAGATGGGAGACAGAGAGCTTCAGGACACCAACCTCACTGATCTGGGCGTGTTGGTGCATCTGGGCTCACTCACCAACTGGACCCCTCGAAAAGTAACTTCCTCGTTCCAGATCTGCAATTTGATGAAAGCTTGAAATTACGTAGTAGTGATAATTACTGAATGCTGGTTTTCTCAGATGAGAGCGGTGGTTTTAAGTGTGCTGCGGAAAAGCGGACTGAAAGTGGAACATTTATCAGTAGTCGAAATGGCAACGCTTGGCCATCTGATCTGCGGTCTGAACCCCGCAGAGATTAAACGTCTGAGCCCCTACAACCTCAGGTGGGTCGAACACGCAACTTAGATCTAATATCTTCTAAATTATTGAAAATCCCAGAAAAGGATAAATGATCAGACATTTGATAAATACATTTATTTATTCATTTCAATCAGGTTTTTAAAAATGAAGAAAACAAATAACCAGTAGGACAAGAGAAAACATCCACATGTACAACCAAGAACCAAATAAATAAGCTTTTGAAAAGGAGAGGGAAGAAGTGAACACTTATCTAATCCCAACCCTTATCTTAATTTAATTCATTATATCACTTATCAACTCAGTAATTATCAGAAACGTGTAATTAAAAACGTGCTGCTTTTCTCATATACCTGTTCAATTTACTGTCCTGATAAACCAACAAAAAAATAATCTTACAGAAAAGATAAATGATTAGAAACTGACTTCCATAACAGGACAATTAATTATTATTATTATTATTATTATTATTATTATTATTATTATTATTATACCATATATGACACTTTCAAATTCAGAGTTATATAACCAACAAATAAAATCAAAATAAAAAACTAATGTTGATAGTAAAGTCACAATAATAATTTAGTCGTAAAAGACTTAAAAAAGAATGCATGTTTGTGTCAATCCCCTACTTCCCATTGTGTGTAAAATAGTTTAATATTTATTTTTAAACTGGTTGATTCATGTTTTAAATCCATATTCAGTCCGTTCTATTGTTTGACTCCAGTGATACAAAATCGTTTCATCTTGTTATTAGTAGAAGGAAATATAGCAGTGGCACTTTTTTTGTGCAGCATGACAGAGTGAGCTGATTGTAGAAGATAAAACAAATGAACATGTCAACTGTACCTTATCAACACTACTCCTCTGAACCTGCAGCGTGGCCGTCCTGTTCCTGCGGGAAGCGACCCTGCCCTGCACGGAGCAGCAGATGGAGGCGCTGACAAACTGCCTGGCCAGAGCCGAGGCCTTTGGTCCTGTCAGTGCTTGGGGGCCGGAGATTTTCACTGAAATCGGGACGCTTGCAGGTACAGTGGAGCACTTTATTCCTCGGGGTGCAAACTTTCTGTGCACAGACTTTTAAAATTCGTCTTAGATTCAAAGAGTGAGAAGGGTTACGGTTGAAAATGGCAGCTGTTTGACAGATAGGTCCAATTAAAACATTCCCAGAGGGTTAAGGTTCGAGAAGGAGGAAGGAAAAGTTTTTTTGAACACCTTTTCTGTGATTTGAAATTAGAAACATTAATTACCTGACTTCAGTGTTTGTGTGTGTTTCCAGCGGGCCTGCCTGATATAGTGCTGTCAGCTCTGCTGCGAGAACAAGTGGAGGGAATCACCCCTGAAGCTGTAGCGCTGATGTCTCCAAAAAAAATGGCAGTGAGTTATACTTGTTAATAAAAAGGTGTTTGTAAAGATGAACCTGCAGTATCAATGCAGGCTAACTGGCAGGTTACAGCACAGATGGCAAGCTTTACGCACATAAACTGCAAATGACCACAATTTATTTAAATAAATATTTATAAATTGTAATAAAGAGGTAGAAAATGCATACCTCAGATTACTTTGAAAAACTCCTAGAATTAATATTTTAATAAATTATACAATATGTAATGAAAAACTTACATTTTAATTATAATTTGATTTAATTATATGTTCATAATATATTTAATTTTTTAGTATGTCGTCAATAATTGTGTAGCCTTGGATTGATAAGCTATAGTGACAGTTTAATTTATTTCATCATAGACATGTCATGAAGAAAATATTAATAAGTTTAACAAACAATAATAGCATGTTATAATTACTGATTTACATTTTAGTAATTTATTCTTGTATTTAATAAATAGTAGATATTTTATCAGCTATCTTTTAGATTTTTTACATTTCTCTGACAGTCATTACCTTTACAAATAAAGCTTTACAAAAAACTTTTGCAGTCATTTTATAGAAATCATTATTTTCTAATTCTTCAAGTAGTCCACATTAAGGATTTTCATTAACATTTCTTACATTTACAAAATAATTAAAAGGTCTTCAAACTTATAAATGAAGCATGATTCAAGGAATACAAAACATAATCAGTTATTACAACATTAAGATTACTGCAATCCTTTTGGAAGATTCTAGATTCAGTGATTATGTTTTGAATATCTGCTGTTTTTGCACTGGATTTACTGCCAATATAAGCGTAGACATAATAGTGCCGCTCAGGTCCTGCTGACAGGAATAGATTTTACTTGTTTTTTGCATTTTGTTGCAGTTTTTCTGCCTTTAGCCACTTATACAGCAGGTGCAGAATTAATTGAAATTGTTTTAGAACATTTTTATGAAATTATAGTCACGGTAATGTTACTTACTTACTGAAATTGAAATACCAGCAGCTCTCTGTAGATTTTGATCTCTATCCATATGACTCAAAATGCTCTGATGTTTCAGAATCGAGAGTAGTTCTGCTCTGATCGCATTTCACATAAATCTACATCAATACAGGGGGGTTTTCCTCTAGATTAATTAAACAGAGAGAAACTCTCCCAGGACGTCTCTGCTCTCATCTGCACAGATTCACAGTGAGCAAAATGCTTGGTGAATTTGTCCCAGCAACTTTCACTTGTCATGACTTGGTTATAGGACTTGTTTTGTCTGAAAAAGTCCAAACATGTCTTTTAATGAACTTGATGAGTCAGGCAAATGAAAAGCATTCTGTTGGAACAATCAAGGCTGAAGCAAGAAACAGAAACCATTATTTGTTTTAAATTAAATTTAATAAAAATAATATTTTCAGAAACAGAGAACAATGTCAATGATGTGATTTTCAATCTTCTCTTGTTAATCAGGACAACTCAGAAATGTTCAATGAATTGAAGCAGTTTAGTAATCAGCTGTCTGCCACAGGACATGCTTTACTTTAGCAGCCTACTTACACTGGACAGACAGACAGACTGTGAATTAAAACAGTGTTTTTAAGTGAAGATTTAAGGCATTTTCTTTTGCCTTAAGTGTAAAATTAATCACACCCAGTTTCCCAATTTGCTTTCAACTTTGCTCTGATCTTTTTTTCAAAAATTGAAGCAGGATTATTATGTGTTAAGCAATAAAAACTGAGAGATGGACACAATTTTCTGTTAAAAAGAGTAATGAAAAGCCTTAGCCTTACATTTTAGCATCACACCAACAGTTTGACTGTGTTTCTTGTTGTGTGCTACAGGTGGTGTTCAGTGCAGTGCAGTTATCGTGGCTGAGTGCAGAGCAGGCGTGGGCCGTCACAGAGGAGCAGTGGGCAGAGCTGGACGCAGAGCAGAGGCACGCTGTTGGACTGGCTCGCTACGAGGGAGACGTCCTGATGGAGCTCAGAGGTGCGTTCTTGTTCTGTTTTCTGAGAAAACTGCAGCCAGCATTCCTCTTGCAAAGAGTCTGATTGTGTCAAACTGTGTGAGCTCAGTTGTGATGGATTCTGCTCCATGTTTTCTGCAGGACGAAACTCTTCTCCATCAGTCCTGAACACGGACAGCTTCGCTCTGTGCCCACTGGCTCTGTGCCTTTTGTTACAGCACCTAATTTAAAATGATGGGAAAAAAATTGATCCTCACATTGACTTCTCCTGGTATTATATTTGTAACGCAAATAAATATTTTCAATTACCCCACTCTTCATTGCACTGGTGTCTGAATTTACAAAGACATTAGATGTGCTTTGTACCTTCATATGATTCATTTTTATGAGATTTATTAGCTTAATATGATGTAAATCACTGTTCACGTTATTGTGCAATGTTTATTGACCTTTTGTTCGAACAATAACAGCAGGCGGTGACAGTGATTAATGTTTATTTGACAGAGGAACAGGCTTTATGACATTTGTAGAACATAACCAGGGAAATAGACCTGAGAGGAGATTTTATTGCATGCAGGGAACCAAACTGGAACAGTGAGAACAGAAATGGAATCAGCAACCTATAATAGACTGTTAAACTCTTGCACACATTCAGTAATAACTCTTGTTGGCTCAGTGATTTGCTCACAGCAGCTCCTGCAGCCCTTCTTGTGAAATGCTAACCCTCGTCCTCTGTGCAAATTCAGCAAATGTAATGTCTGGATTTATTTGAACTTCAAAATGTGTCCTCTGCAACACTAATTAGGTTTCTAGGTGTGTTTCTTTAACAGAAAAGATGCAATATTCATACATTTATGTTAAGATAAAGGATTAAATACTGGGTGAAATAAAGAAACAACTCTATTCAACACCCAGCGGGAGGCATTAATAAGATTAGATCTTCTGTAAAGCTTTGTGTTAATTGAACTATCTTACTTACTGTGTTTTAATACATCTAATTATATGTTATCCAAATTCAGATATCATTTTTACTCATTTAATGTAGCTGGAGCTACATTAAAAAGTCAATTTTCTCAAGCAGTTTATGACGGCTAATAGGTAACTGACCACTTCAATGAACTTTTAGTCTGTTGCTCCATTCAGTTCCACCTACTGGCAGACGGCTGAAAGTGCAGAAAATACTTATCTAAAACGGCGAGAAACACCTTGTTTCTCCAACATACTGTAAGATCCTCAAAGTACAAAACATATTAGTAACATCAAATAACAACTGAGGGCTAATAATTATGAAAAATCTCAAGAATTGATTTCATGATGAGTAGAAATTGCCAATAATCAGTCATCTGCTAAATTGGAATTATGCATCAGTGATTATGCACTTTTGTTTAACATTACCGTGACTCTATAATTTAATAAAAATCTCCTAAAACAATTTTAAGTATTGCTATTATAAGCCAGTGCAACTTATATTAGTTATATAGTTAGTATCTTTTTATTTTATGTAGCTCAAGCACAGTACAGCGACACCTACAGGGAAGGTAGAAGTGAGATTTGGATGGTGCTAGCATGCCTCTAACTCAAATAGCAGGTGATGGCAGCGGCTCACTATCACAAGAGTTGGAGAATCGGAGCTTGGATAAGTCTATTCCACAGAAGGCAGGGATCAGACGCTGGCAGCGTTAAAGTGAGGATGATGATGCAGCTAAAGGGGGCGAAGATGCTGCTGTAACCTCCAGGAAAATATCCGATAGCTGGAGGCTCAACCTGTTTTAGTGTGGGAGTCTGTTATTGGTGATCTTCTAATGACAAATTGTTCTAATCAGGAACCTAATTATGTGTATATATCATTAAATTTAGTGATGCCTCCTTTTTTAAAAAAAAAAATTAAAATCCTTTGCACTAGTGGCCATATATATGTAACATATTTTGTATATCATAAAGTTAGTTGCTGCAAAATGGACAGACCAGGGAGTTTTTCATTGAATTGAACAAAATTTTAAAATGGAACAATTTGAGGACACTGTGGTTTTAACACAATACACACTTGTGATAGTGTGTATTGTTCACTGGACATGCTGTCCAGTGAACATGGGAAAAACTCACTGAAGAAAAAGGTTAACAGTTTTGTGACCTCTGAAATACTCCCTTTCTTGTGCAAGGACCATTGAAGACTCAATTCATGACTACAGGCCATGAATAAAGGAGAGGTAAAGAAGATGCATTACCATTTAAAACATGTTTAAGCTAGTTTGGCACAGATCATCAAGTACACAGCCAAAAATTAAATTTAGGAATCGGAGATTAAATTCCTTCACTCAAAATTCTACACGGAGACTTTTATTCTGCTTGAGCTGAAATAAATCCATTTATGATGTTAATACACTTCAGTCACCCCCTATCACTTTTTGGCATTGTGTGTCTTTATTTAATCGATCCAACAGAGACAAGCGGAGCGATGGTGGCGAATGAAATGGACGAAATGAATTAAAAAGAAGCAACACAGGTGGCCACACGGATGGGAACCAGTTCAGAGTTGGCTGCAGGAACGGCCCAGATGGTGCATTTTTCAAATTAAAGTCAAGTTTAATCATACAATCAAAAACTCGGTGTCATGGAAAATCTATCTTTGTTCTGGCATTTATCAATTTTATAACAGACAGCTAACTGCAAAAAAACTTCAGTTTGAAGTAAAATAAACTCTGGGTTAAGGTTTTATTTTATTGGCCGTTCTATAAGAGTTGGTGCCTTTTTAAAGTTTTGATGCACTTTTATTATTATTTTTTTTAATTTGTTTCATTTATTCGCATCTTAAAATAAACATGTCATAAATGAGTGCCTGTTTGCAGGGGTGTGATTGATTTATTAAGCAAGAGCTGTTAATCACTTCACAGAGAGGCTGCGAGCTGCAGGGGTCTCCTGACCTTGGGGATGAGCCCGGTGAGCCGATTCATAATCCTTTCATGCTGGCAACAAATTTCTCAGTCAGGATGATGCTTGTTGGCATACAGTCGGCTTACTGGTTCTTTAGTGCATGTTTTTCCCCCGCGATAAATCGACCGTCTGGCTGGCTGGCATCAGCCCGACTCACACAGCCTGCATGTCAGATGAAGCCTCTAATGTAGAATTTCAGCTCTTCTCCTGGAACCGGGTCGTTTGATTCAGTTCACTAACTAAACCTGCAAATGGCTCAACACTTGCACTGCGTTCCATTTGTACCATAAAGTGGGAATTTCCAAGTGCCAACCAATGGTGGCTTTGAACACGAGTGATATGGCTCACTGACCAGGGCACCACTCCAATTGAGGGCGGCACGTGTGAGGGCTGTTAGGGAAAATAAAAGTTGTTGTTCAAACAGAAGATGAGTTTTTTGTGTGGCTTGTTTACACACAAAGCCAATCTGGAAAGAGCTTTTTCAGTGTTTTGCACGACATCTGAATTGATTTGCTAATTTCAGATCAATATCTAAAACACATGAACTGGTTAAACTTTCACTGGGCTGTTCCACATTTAACTTAGATACTTTATAACGCATTTAAAATTTAGGAAACTGTAATTTGATTTGTTAAAGACAAAACTACCATTTTGGAATATTCTTTTAAGACAAACCAAAAAACATTTAATATTTGGACTTTAGACTGGTTTACCTGGAATATATTATTCTGCATCAGTGCTCAACTCCGGTCCGTGAGGAATGATGTCCTGCTTGTTTGAGATGCTTCCCTGGTCCAGCATCTAAACGCTGAATTTACCTCCTAGGCTAGAGTTTGATTTATTCATTTAGATCAGGTTTGGTGAAGCAAGCATAGATATAAAACATAGTTTTCACTTCTTATGCTGTAGTTCTACACTATTTCTAATAATCAAAAGTTCCTGGATTTGTATTTTTTCCAAAGCCACAACAAATGGCAAGTCCCATTATTTATTTAAACTGCTACTAGATTAACTCTGGCGTCACGGTGTTCCTAGATTTGAGTTTCTGAGACGAATCAAACACAAAAATAAATATTGAACATGCCAAATGGGCAAAATACCAACATTTGGGTACAAAATAAGAAACGAGCAAGCACATATTTTGCCGCCTGGATCGACGTAACACCGGTTCTCATCTTTTGGGAATCGGCAACTAGAGCCTGCTCCGTTTCGAGCGACACATCCATGGTGCAGTTCCTCCGGTGACCAGCAGGTGGAGATGCAGCAGCGCTGCTGCTCCATGAGGAGGTGTTGCTCAAACGTCTCCACTTTGTCCATGATCCTGACGTATTTCCTGGGGCTTGTGCCGACCACTCAGCGGTACACCGGAGGGGTATCATGACTGTTTATCATCAGCAGTTGTCTTTTACGCCTTCTTCGGTCATTTCGCCGTGTCGTCGTCGGATTTAACGGCGCAGTGTGTGACAATAAGCCGCAGGATCGAGCAGGATGTAAAGGAAGCTGGTAAGTTGAGCCGTTGGTAAGTTTACCGTTCGCTTTAGCTTGTTGTGTTTGACTTGTTCTGGTCGGGCTGCCGACTTTCACCGAGCCAGCTGCCCCCAGTTACGGCCGAAACCCTCACACTTACGAGCAGGCAATGGATTACTGACTACGCTGTTGTCAGTTTGTGGTGTTCTCCCAAAAGAAGGGGGGGCAATCACACACATAAACGGAGGCTTACGTCGACTACGCCGCGTCCGGTTTCTGTGGTTGTTCCTGCGGACGTTAGGAAAACTGCTGCTTCCGATCCGCGCTGCTAAATCGGTTTGATTCCCTTAAAAAAAAATAGTGAAACGATCGTCAGAAGTAGATAAGAGGAGGGAGGAAAGAGAGGAAAAAAAGGGGGAGGCACCTGCGAGAAGGAACAGCGTGGCGTCAAGTTGGCGTTGATCACGGAGCGCCACAGTTTCAGACATATTTGTCAAGCGGAGGAGTCATCATCACCATCCTCATCATCATCGGATCAGCTCCAGCCGCAGCTCCGAGCCGAACTGGAGGACTGAGGTGAGTCAACCCCACGGAGAGCTCGCAGCAGTGGGGGGAACTTAATCTGGTAAATATGGATGTGTTTGAGCGGTTCGGACCGAGAGAGGGAGAGAAGTTTGGCTCTTCCTCTTCTGTGCTGCAGTTCAGCTCAGCTCTCAGCAGACTTTTGTTGCTCCTCCGTGTGTTTTCATCTCTCTGGGAACTTTGTAAAGTAACGCAGATAAATCTGGTTGTTTTGAACCGATGGGGCAGGAGGTTAAGTCATCAGTTTCTGGTGATATTATTTCTCTTGATATTGGGTGTCAGAGTTGTTGCTGCTGCATTGGTACGTTGTGAGAAGTGGCCTCCTGTTGTGTTTATGTCTTGCACTGTTAATTTCGAAATTTTCAGCTTGTGATCATCATGGATAATCACAGAAAACTGTGAAACCCACTGACATGCAGTAGGTAAAAAAAAAAAAAAAAGAGAGAGGACCAATCAGACATAAAAATTCACATAATGAAGTATTTACCCCAGAAAACATGAAGCCTCTCAGTCCAGGACAAAAACACGTCGCAGTATTTACATATAAATATGAATGAGGGATTGTTTCTGCCAGGAGCTGAACCCTTTGTCTTTGAGAGTTTTATTAACTCTTGTTATAACAAGGAGAGCGATTTCACATGAGCAGCGTTCCCACCCCAGAGCTCCGGCTGCTCGCAGGCAGCCACAAAATGTATAACTCTGCATCAGATCCACACGTCCTCCTCCCATTTTCTCAAGATGACTTTCACATTCGAGCAGCCAAAGTGAGACTCGGGAGTTGCAGCAATTTGTTGATGCCTGTCAGACACGTTGCTCTATTTTGCCTGCTGATTATTACGCATCACGTATTGAAAGTACTGACAAGCAACAGGAAAAATAATCAATTGGATTTTGGTGCTCTGAGTTATAATAGTGCTATCTCTATCATTTTTTTTGAAGTATTTTAATGTGTAGCTTTAAGCAAAATAAATAAAAAAGGATAGCTTTTTTTTAAGTGTGTATTGATCAGATTTAGTTTTGTCTGTTTTCCTCTCTACATATTTTAAAAAACTTGCTAAGTAGCTGTGCTGTCTGCTCCGGTAGTCAGCCGGCTCACATAGCTCAATAACTGTGGTTTTAAAACTGAGTTACTATTATTCTTTCGTTTAAACACCATGACTGTTGTTGTGCTTCCAAATTTGTCCTTGTTATACGCAAGGAAAACATGTGGGAGGCTTGAGTTTTCGTTTCCAACATTTAATTTTTTTTATATCAGATTGAAATTATAAAAATATTTTAAACTTTTTTTAGACAGCAGACAGTCTTTATTGGTATCTCCCGTAAAGACTGTTGCAGTTGTTTAAAAATGAGGTTCAGTCTGAAATGTTGGTGCTGTTTTACCGTCTAGTTCTTCTCCTCATATCTTCAGGTCTTGTTGCGCTCGCAGTCAGCATTCCCCAAGCCCCTGCAGCCTCTCCGTTTAAAAGGAATCCCATCGAAAATGCGTCTTTATCGTCGTCTTTAATCAGGCTGCGTGTTTGACAAAAAGGAGTAGAGCTGCTGTTACCCTTCTTAGAAATGATGTGACTGCTGCAGATGACGTCTCTGTCCTCCGGGGACTTTCTCCGACAAAGATACAAACAAGCCTCTTCTTCTGGGCTGTTCTCCTGTCACTTCTGATAACGCCTTTCTGGAAGTCATTTGGTTCCAGACCTGCTGCCTTCCAGCGTCGAAAAGCTGTTTATGTCTTATCCCGGTCGAGCTTTTCTGACGCAGTCTGAGAACGATTGCTTAGCGACGGTGATCTTCAGGTTCAGAATCCGGTTTATTGTTAGGCAGGTAGTTTATAAAGTTACATGTCGAGACTTCCAAAGGTCAAGATAATTTTTTTGTGAGACCACGGAGAAAAAGTTGAGTTTTCTAAGCCATGAGGAACAGTCCTGTCCTTTCCTTTCCTGCTGCTGTGGACTGCTGGTCAGCTGCACACTTAGCCTTTACTCATATAAAATATAAATTTGGTTGTTTAAAATTATTTGCAGTACAAAAGAAAAAAATGATGAAGTGGAAATCAAGAGCCATCCATCCTTCTTATTTAGGAAACTTCGTTTTAAAATTACATTTACTTTATTCCATGCATTTCCCTAAAATGTACGTTATAAAAAATATAACTGAAGCTGTGCCACAGTAGGAAAGCATGCAATTGAGATGCAACTATAAAAAATAGCTGTATTGACACGAGTTGCAACCAAGCCACTGTTTCTTCACTTGTCATATTCTTTGCCATCGTTGCAGAGGAAGAGAAAGAAAATCCTCAGTCTGCTCTGCTGTAGCGGCAGGAAGTTCCCTCCGAGTAAACCGATGCATTTATTGGACTTCAAGTCATTAACCTGCTCTTTTACATTTTCGGTTTTGCACATATTGTGCTTATGATAGTTATTCAATAAATTATGCGGCTTTAATAATGACTAGTATTTTTTTTAAGCGCAGACTCATTTTAGCGGCAGTGATATCAGTCAATCCTTTCTGTTTTAATGAAATTAGTGAGATCATGCTGTGTGATTTCTTTAAAATGTTTGTGTGCTTTCCGTGATACCAAGGGGTTTTTTTTTTTTCAACTATAATTGAAACTGGAAGCTGGATTTTTACGTTTAATTGGAACTAATTAAGGATTTTTTCAGATAATATGAGCTCCTCTCGTTACGTAACACCTGCAGTGCTAATTATAAAGTGACTTGCCGTGAATGAATAAATTGCTCATTTGTATGTTGGTCCAATAAACAAACCACAAATTTTGCATAGGCTAATATGCGCTGTCCTTGTTATATTCATTCATGTATTATATTCATAATTCAGCCCTTGGCTACACTCGCAGCGTATTATCTCTAAAACACTCTGGAGAGTTTTTGACTGCAGAGAACGTAGTTCATGTGTGTCTCAGTGAGCGGGCCGACAGTAATTGCGGACTTAGAATAACTTGTTAAAGGTCATGTTGGCTCAACCCGCTGGAGTTTGTTTCTGTTTTTTTTTCAAATTTCATCAGAACATAAACAATAAACCAATGAGGTGTAAAAACTGCTTCCTTACCAAAACTGTCCTGATGAGATCGGTAATGAGGTCACCGTTATCTGCTGGGGTTTAATGATTCTTGGCTAATTATAATATAGTTTCAGCGCATTGTCAGACTCTGACCTGCACTGTAATTTACTTTAGGGAGCTTAAAGACGCTAAACGCGGCGAATGTTGACCCCTTCTAGCGTCTCTTGCAGGAGTTTGGCGGTCTGTTGGCTGTGGCGTGTGCGGCATTTTAGGCTGACGTTCAGGAAACTGAGTGGTTAGCTGCTCTGATGAGGTCACAGGCTTCTGCAGTTAAATGTCAGCGTGTGTCTGAAAATCAAACAAAAGCCCGGAGAACATTGACACTCTGTTTGCTTGTTGCTTCAAAGGACAGAGGACAAAACTGAGTGAGTTGTACACGCAGACTTTTGGATAGGTTTCTCTCTTTGGAACCTGATGTTGGTAAAGATTTGATTTATATATCTTTGATATAGTGTAATTTGATGTGTTTTTTTTTTTTTTCTGTTGGCTCAACGTGACATAGGTTGATTTGCCTCTGTTGTCAAGCTATTTATAGAATAAAATGTAGGCATTTATAAAGCCTGACTTGGAAAAGCAGCCTGTCTTTCCGGGACAGAAACAGGTTGACCTGTTTGACTGGTACTTGCCTCATAATCCACTGAAGAAAATTTACATTACAGTTTAAGACACCATCTTCTCACTTGACTAATGGACATCTCAGGATGTCTTCATCTCTATATTTTGGTCATAAAATGGTTTCAAATGTCATTTTAGTGCTTTGAGTCCAACCCAAGTTATCAGGATTTCTCTTTGTCGCAACATTGCGCACCAACACAGACAAACAAAATGTCACTGGCTGGGAAGGTCTGCTCTGATCCATGGAAAAGTAAAAGAGCAGATGTTTTAGCTGGTGTGTTATCTGTGCCAGCCAAGGAGTTGGCCAGATCAGCTGTTTCCACAATGTGTGTTAACACTTGGAAATGTTTGTTGGCCCTGTGTAGCAAGCACAAGATGAGCCACATGCTAACGTTAAGTCATTTTATAAGAATTGATGGGTGTAGTAACTTTTTTTGTCTTTCAAGTAGGCAAATGTGTTGTTATGATGCTGATCCCACCGTCAATTTCTGGATTGTTTCTGAATAAACAATTGTCAGTTATTTGCTTAATATTAGTGATGCACCGATTAACCAGTCAGAAATCTGAATAAGCTGATTTTTCAACTGATCGACGCTGGTAAATGAGAGGCAAATCAGATACCGAAAAATGTAAATATTCTTGTTTGTTTGAATGCGTCAAAACTAATTAGCCCCACCATTCGTACTTCTATACACTTTTATTTAGTTTGATTAAAATAACTTACCTGTTGCGAATGTGAGTTTCATAAATGGGGATGATGTTGAAATTTCTATATAATCCTTAAGGGAGAAAATCAGAATCAGTCCTATCCTCAATCAGTGAGTCAGACCTCAAAAAAAAAAAAAAAAAAAAAAATTCTGGTTCAATCTGCCCTTGAAAATGTATTGCATTTGGTTTTGGGGATGTGAAGCGATCACTTTTTATTGTGATTACCCCTACACTGAAATGCTCCTGTGTTTTTAATTTGAAATAACAGGTTTTTATAAGAGGAATGAGAAAAATGAGCCTCCGCTGCATCTAAACGCATTATTCTTTCATTGCCACGTATCATCATGGGAAATCTTCAGGAGCTTGTTTGTCCTTCCCGAGGCTAACACAATGGCTTACATGGGAGAAGTGACTATATTGCTTATAACACCTGAGTAAAAAAAAAAAAAGAAATAGGTGAGAGCAGTGGCTCCACCATAGACACCACTGGAGATCTCGTACAACTGCACGGAGAGGGAACCGCACAATAGGAGCATTGTGCTCAGTGAGGTCTAGTTCATTCGGTGGCACAGCAGTTAGCATGAGGGATAATGGTCTGAACAGACAATAAAGCTGACCCCACAGCGTTACTGCAGAAGTGTGTCAGCAAGCAATTAAACAACAAGCTAAGATTTGTGTCTGGGTACAAACCTGGCAGCAGAAACCTAAAATGAGAAATTGGGTTTTCCATCTTTGTTTATTGTGGGAGGCTATCTTGCAGCCTGCTACAAAAAAAAAAAGGAAAAAAAAAAAAAAGTGGAAGCACTAAAAATTTCTACTTTGTGAAAAAAAATTCTCTCCACTGCTTTTTATGTGCTGTCCTTGGCTGCAGCCTTTTCAGTAGCTGCCACTGCTGCCTGAGGCGTTCACCCTCGAGAGGCTACTTCACGTCCTACTGAAACGGACTCTGTTGTTATCCCTCAGCATCCAGGGTGTGGTCCTGCTTTCCAACCACAGTCCTCCACCTCTGCTGCCAACTCGGTCTACCTAAGCATTTTTCTTTTGCAACCTTCGTTGACAGTCATGTCCCGTGGGAGTTTGGAGGCCTAAATTTGCTGCCGTGTGCCTGACCACAATACCAGGTCCTCTCCAGACATCCCGCTCACTGCGTCATGCCGGATTGTTAAATGCCTGTTCTTAGCTGGGATGCGCAAACCTGCTGTTTGGGAGCTCTAGTTTGTTTTCCTTGTTGGTTGATCAAAAACAAATAAGTAAATACTGTAAGTTATGTGATTCGTTTAACATCTGGTGTGTCCTAAGTACATTTACATATATTTAGCATTTAAAATGTGTTTTTTCTCTCATAAAATTATACCCAGGCCACTTTGTGATCCTAAATTCTATATTTGTCAAACGTTTTCTAACTGGTTATGTCACGTTTTATTCGACGTAACCTAAAATGAGAAATTGGTGCATGTGATAGACCCAGGATTTTGGACCACATGAAAGGCTGGGATCAAATATAAGCAACAGACAAAAGAAGCATGTGACTGCTGCTCTATTTTACAATTGCACGCTTTGTCCATTCTTTGGAGTTTTAGTTTTCTGCTTTATCTCAGCAGAACAGCATTTCTTAAAAGCTAACTTCCTTGAAACCCTAGTTTCTGTTCTTCAAAATAAAAGTTATCCCCCAGCAGTGTTTACTAGCAAAATTACAGCAGAAAACCTTGATGGAGGAAATCCTATTTTGTCTATTCTGATAGCACAACTCCCTATGGAGGGCCAAAAATAAATAAATAAATTCTTCATTAAGGCATTAGTTAAATGTACCATAAATTATATATTTAAATAGATAAACATAAATGATGTGGACAACTGATGTATTATTATTAAAATGTAGACTTATAACAGCTGATGCAAATTATTAATTAAATGTATTTAATTACTTCTAGTTTCTTGTTCTGAGGCGTCACCAGGACAAGTTGAGGGGTGGAGCTCTGGGCGGGGCTTACATGGATCTGTTGAACTCAACTAGTACAGCCTGATTTTTGTGGCAGCCTTTGTAACAAGTTAGACAGATTTTACAATTAGCAGACAGCATGAAAGCAGGAGATTATCATCCAGACTACGTGGCTGACAGATCTGTGTAAGCATAAGCTTGTGTTTGAATGATTTAATGGTAATTAATAAATGAAATGTTTATTAAAAACATTTTAAGCATTTTCACGTTGTATTTAATTAATAATTTAATGATGCATTTATAAGATTTTGTTCCTTGTGGCCTTCCATACATAGCATCTGTATTGGTGTCCGTAAATACAACTTGGTGCATGCAACATGTCGTGTGTGTTGCATGCGATGTTGCGTGCAACACACACAACACTGGAGTGACCATTGAAGTCCAGGTCACGTCAGGATTGCAAGCTGGTTGCATTGCAGTCTGATGGCAGCTGCATTAAAATGATAACATAAAGAGCACAAAAAAAAAAGATGTATCGGCATAAAAACTTGTGATGTGAACAGTTGAGACAGTTTGTCTTCTACTTTAATCTAGCTTAATGTTTTCTTTTTGCGCAAAAATAAATGAAATACCAAAAGATACAAGGTAGCAAAGTTTTCTAAATTAAAATGTTAACAAACATGGTAAGTGCTTTGCAACCAAAAAAAAAGAAAAGAACATAATTTTTTATCTTTGCCGGAACCTGCAAAGATAAAAAAAAAAAAAAAAAAACTCAGGGAAGAGATGTGATTTTTATCTTTTGTCTTGTTCTTCTATTTTCTTCCTCCTATATTTTTGTTAACATGGGGTGATAAATCTTTGTTCATACTGGATTCAGTCCAGCTTGCTGTTTTGAACTTGTACATTGGTTTTAATGCTTCATGGTGTCCCATCTTCTTTTGTTTCTCTCCAGGTGAGCTGCGACTCTCGCTGCCTTCGACTCCCTGTGCATCTGCATGTGCTGTAAGCAGCCCCAGCCTGTTGGAGAGCTGCTTCGGTCCGTGACTGTCCTGCTTTAGGAGAACCCATGGCTTCTGGGCCTCCATTTCCCTCCATAGGCCGCAGGCTCAGGCTGCTGCAGCTGCTAATCGGGGCTGTGTTTGTGCTCCTGGTGTCCGGGTTTGGATCGGCTCTGGGTCACAAGGTCTACACCAACACATGGGCGGTCCACATACCCGGCGGTCCGGAAGAAGCTGACCAAATTGCCAAGAAACATGGCTTCATAAACCATGGACATGTAAGTTGTTTAGGCTGTTGTTAGTGTAGTTCTTTAGATGATGCCGGGTTATGTTCCACTGGGTCGTTGTTAGTCGAGGTTACCAAGGCCAGGTTTTGACTATGCAAATAGGAGACGGCTGAAACCTGAAGCTGTTGCACACAGTGGCCATTATATTGTAGCTCATACCTGCCTTTATTTTCTATTAGGATTCTCCAAAAAGCCCTTGCATGCTCTTTCAACCCCTCTTCGAAATATTTATAGATAATTTTTCATTATTTATGCTCATTTTTTTCATGGGAGGACAGAAAAGTAACAGTATGCCTTTCTATTTTTACTCAGATTTCCTTCCACACACAGAAACCTTGACATGTTCAAAGAGTAAAAAAAACTCCCTTTTGTGTTTGCAATGAAACCGCCTTGTATTGACGTTTTTGTGCAGGTGCTTCATTGTTGTGCAAAGGATATCTTTTACAGGTGTGTCAGTGATCTTTCTTTTCTGGGGTTAACTTGACAGGGTTTTTCTTCTAATGCATTCAGTTCACAAGAACAGGTGTTGTCCTGGGTTGTTGCTTGAAGCTTTTGAATGTGAAAAATGCTTCCAGGTGAACAGGTTAGATGAGAAGTCTAAGAGTACAGTGTGTCTTTATGTAAATCTGAAAGCTGACCTGGAAAGTGCTTTCAGATTTAGAATAAAAAGAAAAGAAAAATCACTGGAAATAAAACACACCTTTTGTCGCACATGGATGTTTCAGATCACGAAACAAATTTTAATCATCTGGCTTACAAAAGTGGGAATGAGTGAATGAATTCCGGTCCGCACTTCTTCAGAATTGTTGTTTTAAGAAGTGGCATTTAAGGTCGTACTGCAACACCTCAATCAAACTTAAGTGGAAACTTTTACTAGACAGCTCTAAAAGCTTAGTTTTTTTGGAACCACTAAAGGTTCTGTATGTATCTTTTATAAACAAATGTGTCTTCATATGTGTTGAAACTGTCCATGTTCTGATAGTCTGGTATGTGGAAAAAATCAAGCCCTTCTCCTCCTTTGTGTGTTCCTACAGCCATCTGCAGAAACACACCACTCCCGATTAGAAACAACCAATCAGAAACAGGAGGAAGGATTTGAGTTTTTTGAAAATTAGGGGCATGGTGTGTTCAGTTAAATTGAACTAAATACTTATGGTACAGTGATTAACCTCCGTTGCTTCATGATTTTACAAACAATTAGTCACAATTTCTTAGATGGCAGGTAGATTTGTTTCCCCCTTTATTAGTGAATTGTTTGTTGTATTGATTTGTAATATCTTTATTTGGTCTTTGAGCTGAAACATCTAACTGATGCAGAAGATTTCTGTAAGTGTGCTAAAGAGGTGTAGTTCAATCGACTATTTGCCCTTGTGCAAAACATAAAAAAAGCCTTTACGTAAAAAAGGCTTTTTCTTTTTTTTTTCTTTGTATGCTTTTGAGACCTTTCTCAAAATGACTATGACTAATTTAGCCAGCTGAGCTAAAACAACTCGAATCTTTTCTTACATGCGTCACTGTAAGACGCATGTAAGACGCATTTTCCTTCTTTATGACTTTCTGCTTGGCTCCATTGGAAGCCGATCAGCTGGGAGCTTCTCCCTTAAAAACAAACACTGAAGCAAATTAGTGTCGCCTTCAGGCAGATGTTGCCGGACATGTTTGTTTTTTATTCAGATTTCTTTTTTCTTAGGAACTGCGGAGCATCAAATTCATGACGGTGCTTAAATGTCCAGCAGATATTTTACTTGTATAAGTAGATGTCATCATTCTTGATGTAGATTCTAGTTAAGACTGCAGCTTAATAACGCAGTTTAATCCTCATTTCCACTTGGTCTCTTAAATACTTACGAATGGATTTGATTTGTTTTCTGCTGTTTGCACAAAGCAGTCTTTATATGTTAGAGCTCAGTCTAAGTTTGAGCTTTTTGCAATTGAAAACCAGAGAACGAGCAGCTCTTCATCCAGATGTTTAAAGTCCACCATGTCTCTGCTCTAATAGGCAGCACTGTCCTGCACTGCACAATATGGCCTTACTGGTCACATGGGAAAATGTTAATTGTGTTCTGTATCATAGCACGAACACTAATGAGCAATCCTACGCACTTAAATCCTTTAAGTATGTATTTGCTGCGGAAAGCGGGGGAACATAAACAAGGCAACTACACCTGGGTGCTCAGAAAACGGCTCCCTGCAGAAGAGTCCCTGTGTGCGCTTGGTCGGACTCAGCAGCTTGCTTCAGATAATTTTTGATATTCTGAAAGCTAGAAGTTGGGCCTTTATGTCTGAGCTGAGCTGGACTGATAAGCAGCTCTTGACGAGGCTGTTTTTGCTTAATAACGCTGCATTAACAAGGATATCGAGAAGGACGCTGAGTAAAGACTTGAACAGCCAATGAAGTGAAAACAGATGTGATCTCTCCCAGTTATTCTTTCTCCATGACTTTGATCTCTTACCTTGCATGCATCTTTTTAAATGTTGGCTAATTAAACCCAGTTAGCACCAATCACCCTGTTTAATAAAACAAACAAAAAAACCCTGCCACGTCTTGTTGAATCATTGAAGCCATCTTGTGCTGCGGATGACCTTTATTATGTTTAACCTCATATGCATGTGACTCATTCTTACCTCATAAAAAAGTAAAGTCGAAGTATCAAAGAGTTTAGCAGAGGAACACTTACTCCTTACTAGAAGAACTAGATGTGAACGGTATTCCCTGTTTAAAATGATTTGCAGAATGAAAATTTAATGAGCAACAAACAATAAAACATGAGGATTAATCTGGTTCTGCTGATGCCACAAAGTAAAGATGGAGTTTATGTTCGCTGGGATTCAACGGCGAAGCTGTGCGTAAACTGCCAATCGTGCAACACAGAGCAGTTAAAGATGCCACCTTGGGCATTATAAAGCTTATGAGCATTTCCTCCCTTTATGCTGTATGGACCAAACAATTATAAGATGATAAATTAATTAATTATGAGGGTGGTTGCTAGATGAACAATATTTCAGGAGATTTACCTTTTCAGTTTGGACAGGTACCGTTCAGCCTGGGCATGGTATACATGTCCATTAGCTTTGAAAGGCGAGCTTGATAATCATAATGACTTCAATAAAGATGCTCTGATGCGCTGCACTGGCTTGATGGCATAGCGTTTTTGTTCATTGATTAAAATGAAGCCATTAGTTTAGAAATGGGAACAAACAAATCTGTGAAGGTTTTTTGCCCCACAGCTGATTAGAAATGAAAGTTGCTGCGTATGTGTGTGAGTGTGTGAGACGGACTGTAGCATATGTGAGCTGTGATGTTTCTCCTCTGGTTTGTGTTGGCATTAGACAGGAGGCCTGCATGATGGGATCAAAGACCAGCTGGACAGGTGTTTTCATTCCACCTTCTCTCACTCTGTTTACAATATGGCATCTGTAAGTCTTCTACCCTAAAGACATGGATTATTTATTGCTGTCTGCCGTCATTCATGTCCACACAAAAGACACATTTCTGCAAATATAGCCTTTGCTAGGAACAAATCCTACACAACAAAATTTCTTGTGAAAATACCAGCTGTATTTTCTTAGATGCTCTTGGATGCAGTTACAATTTCTTTTCAAAGCCAGTTTTGGTTTTACTTAGGCTTTGCTGTAACACATTTTAAGCTACTTTTAGCATCCTATGCTAGCAATTAGCCTGGTTATCACGGCTAGCAATACTCAAACTTTGTCTTCATCAGCCTGCGTAAAGCTTCACCTTGTCTCTGAGATTTCTGAAAAGTGTCAAAATATTTCCAAATCGGCACCTTCCACACCAGATAGATGCTAAAAACAATTGTGCTGCACTCTGGTTAGGCTTTCTGTCATCTTCTGAAAGTCTAGCTCTCTCTTACAGCCTGAAGGAACATGTGTCAACGCAGTATGGAAACATGGCTTTGTACGTCTATGTGCTTCTCTGACTTAATTTCAGATAATCTCAGCATTCACACCCATCAGCTCAACATAGTAGAGTTTTGTCTGTTTACTGATAAAAAAAAAACAACAAAAAAAGCTGATTTTTTATTTTTTTTATTCTCCTTTTTGGGACAACAAAAAGTTCAAGGCTGATTGATGGAAGAAAACAAATTACAAATGGAAGCTGAAATGTTACTTTTTTTTATTTTTATTTTTATTTTTTATTTTCATATATTTGATAAGATGTTTAGTAATCCTGTGGCTATTTGTTGTTGCATTTATTGTCATGTAATGGGCTGACATAAGCATTTTTAACTTGGATGTCTTTTATGTATACATTTACGAATAGAACATTTTTTTATTTTAAAAATATGCAGTCAAAAATTACAAAACTTTTCCATAATTGAAATTCTGTAAGGTTGGCAAAAGGGACATTTTTCTGTAGTAAATAAAATAGTGAATTCCTCCTGTTATGTCACATCTGTGTAAGTTTAAGATTTCATTAAGATCCAAATTAATAGTACAACAAAGGTTTAAAATTGCTGTTGGACTATATCAGTAAGTGTAAATGTGGGGGCAGAAAGCAGGGAATGATGGGAATGTTTGCTTGATCAGGATCTACGACTTGCTTCCCTTCACGTTTCTCTTGACTGGCGTAATGGATCTGTCCTTATCATTGGCACAGTTGTTGAGGTCAAAATACATTCGAACTCCATTTTGTTTTTCTGTCCCTTCTAATCGATAAAGCTGAGCTGGCTGGTGCGAGTGGGTTGTTTGATGGTGTAGAAACGCCAAAGCCCTGTTGACTGATGGGAGTTTGTTATAGAAATTTCTGACCCAGAAGTGCACTAACTGTCAGGATTAAGGTGCTGCCTCGTTGCTCTGTCATTTGTCATTCTCTAAACTTTATAAGTCATCCACTTTTTTTTTTTAATTATTATTTTTTTCTCTAGTACATTTTTAAAATTGTTGATGTCAAAAAATGATGAAATGTATTTGAAAATACCTGATGTTTTTAGAAGTAAACGGCTACGATCACCAAGTGATTAGACTTT